GACCTTTTTGGAAAATGCGCGCTGATCCCCATGAGAAAATGTTGCTTTATTTAGTTTAACAAGTCATGGAGGGAGCCGGTCAGGGATTTCGGTTTTGTGGCTCTTGTCAGTGCACTCCGTTCCGTTTTAGTCTGGTCTTTGTCCCCTCTTCTCTCTTGCGCCCTTCTCTTTCCATCGTTTCAAGTGTTTGGTTCAAGCGTCTTCGTTCCCGAAATTAAATTTGGTAGAGTTTTCGATTTGCTCACCAGCTCGCTCGGCTTCTAGGAAACTAGGTCCGTCACTGTCATCTGGATCTTTTGTTGTTTCAAATCCCCACAACTGCCATTTACAAGACCGAATGTCTCTTTCATCAGTAAAACCATTTCAAGTGCTTGCAGCAGTCTTTTCAAATTGTCCAACATACTGCAACCCTTGCAGGACTGGGCAAGTGTAGCCCAACAAAGCGAGCCACGGGGCACCTCTCCCTTTCTGTCTCAATTGCATCTTCGGCAGAGATGTCTTCAGCTGCGGAAACCGCGGCTAAAGAAGGTACATGCCTTATGCAGGGCAAGGCCAGCGAAACTTCGATGTGCCCTGGGGGTGGCAAAAACAAATGCATGAAAAATATGTTGGCTCAATGTGTGCAGAAACCACAGCCTTGACCAAATGCTTATAGGGTTCAGGATGTCAATTCCTATTGCAACTATTTTGCCTGCTTGGTGCGTACGCTGCACAAGAAGCAATATGCCAGCAAATCTTGTCTTTGCAATTAACATACCTTCGAACTCTGAAGACAAAACAATGCCCCGCCTCTAAGCTCGATTTCCCGAAAACAGTTTTGAACTTTCACACTCTGACCTCGCAACAGGTCAGAGCTTATTATATATCTTCCAAACGGGGAGATCCAAAACAGGATTTAAACTCTACCCGCTTTAATCCAACTGTCTGACCTCACCCACACCAGTTGTATGATTGCACAATCCTTTCAGATACTTTCAGTGCTGTTCACCAAAACACTTGAATGTCACATGAAGAGCTTTTGAGAACGACCTGCTTCGAGTTCAATAGTAGAGTCTTACCTCATCTCCCTCCTTTGTCTGAATCAGCAAAGCAGCACAACACAGCATGTCGAATGAAATCAGTCTAAACAGGGCCATAGTCACCTCTCCCTGTGGTTCTCCTGTGCTTGGTCGGCTGAAATGTTTTCGTCGGCGGAAATCGCCGCCAAAGAGGGAATATGCCTTGTGGAGGGCAAGGCCATTGAAACTTCAATGTAACAGAACTGTGGTGGGGTTGGAGTTGGGAAGCGGCTGCACTGCTGTAGAGTTGCCAAAAAGCATATACATACTAGAAACTGTTAAAACAACTGTGGGTTCGGATTGTGGGTTGCAAAAACACCATTCGTGAACAAGCGCTTTCATTCAACACAATCTCAAGTCAAGCTATCTTGTGAACTTGCACCTGTCAGCTGTAAAGCAAGCTATGACCATCAACATGACTTCAAAGTCTGAACCAATGCCCCGCCTCCAAGCTCGATTTCTGGAGAACAGTTTTGAACTTTCACAATCTGACCTTGCAACAGTACTGTTCAGTAAAACACCTGAATGTCACATGAAGAGCTTTTGAGAACGACCTGCTTCGAGTTCAATAGTAGAGTCGAATCTCATCTCCCTCCTTTGTCTGAATCAGCAAAGCAGCACAACGCAGCATGTCGAATGAAATCAGTCTAAACAGGGCCATAGTCACCTCTCCCTGTGGTTCTCCTGTGCTTGGTCGGCTGAAATGTTTTCGTCGGCGGAAATCGCCGCCAAAGAGGGAATATGCCTTGTGGAGGGCAAGGCCATTGAAACTTCAATGTAACAGAACTGTGGTGGGGTTGGAGTTGGGAAGCGGCTGCACTGCTGTAGAGTTGCCAAAAAGCATATACATACTAGAAACTGTTAAAACAACTGTGGGTTTGGATTGTGGGTTGCAAAAACACCATTCGTGAACAAGCGCTTTCATTCAACACAATCTCAAGTCAAGCTATCTTGTGAACTTGCACCTGTCAACTGTAAAGCAAACTATGACAATCAACATGACTTCAAAGTCTGAACCAATGCCCCGCCTCCAAGCTCGATTTCTGGAGAACAGCTTTGAACTTTCACAATCTGACCTTGCAACAGTACTGTTCAGTAAAACACCTGAATGTCACATGAAAAGCTTTTGAGAACGACCTGCTTCGAGTTCAATAGTAGAGTCTTACCTCATCTCCCTCCTTTGTCTGAATCAGCAAAGCAGCACAACGCAGCACGTCGAATGAAATAATCAGTCTAAACAGGGCCATAGTCACCTTTGCCTGTGGTTTTCCTGTGCTTGGTCGGCTGGAATGTCTTCGTCGGCGGAAATCGCTGCAGACGGAATATGCCTTGTGGAGGGCAAGGCCATTGAAACTTCGGTGCAAAAGAATGTACAGTAAAAGAACTGGGGCGGAAGCGACTGCACTGCTGGAGAGTGTTGGTGCAAAATCATCGTGCTTGAATATCGGCTTTCATTCAACACAAGTTCAAGTTTTCTTCGCCCTATGGTAGCTATCCCTGCCATTGACCAAACAAACACGCCAAATGGATGTTCAAGCATGTGAAAGTCAAGTAATTCTAAATACGTAGGTACCTGGTACCCAAGACTCAGATCCGAAAAAATGTTTCAACACCCGCACTACGCACCTCTCCGTGTCTATCTCCGAAATCTCTGCAGCTGTGACTGCCAACGAAGGTACATGCCTCAAGGGGCATAGCACCCATGGCGACCATGTCTGGTTTGGAGTCTCCGCTCACGACTCACTGGAACTGAAAGCGCACATGGTTCGCGGGTACTCTGTTTACTCATCCTGTCATTCTTGAAAGCCTGGCACCACTCTTGTGTTCACGCATGTCAATCATGTGGCGACTCATGCGTACAAGCAGTTCCCGGGCAAGCCGGCGGCGGAAGTTTCCTATAAGAACACATTGACCTATAGGGGTGCCCACGTTCTCTCCACCATGCGTGTCCCTCGTGTCCCTCACTCAGCCAAACGCATGCGCTCCGGACTTTTGACACACACACACACACAGCGCCACCTGTGCAAGGTCTGTGCTCCCTGCAGGATCAGCAGCTCACAACAGCGTACTGGGTTGTGTCTATGCCAAAGCAAGATCACCAGCCCACACCGGCGCGCTGAAGCAACTGGGCATCTGCAAGCGAAAGTTAAGTGCAGCTGGCGCGGGCACGCGAAGTGGGTGGTGTTTTCAAAGTTAAAATCATGCTCCGCGCAAAAACAACGAAACTGTTCCTCATCGGGGCAAGGCAAGCGCATGTCCCGGCTGTCTGCGCGGCCCACAGCGACGCACGCAGATCGATGCCTCCCGGCAAGAGCAAGGAATGCGGGTCACACCACCGCGCGTCGGAGTGAATTGAATGTAGTTACACAAGACTTCGAATTTGCAATTTCCACCGCGACGCGGGTCACACCACCACACGCCACGGACAGAAAAGCATGAGTGCTTCAACGCATGCGCACCAATTCTGAGCTGTCTCTCCATCTCGATGTACACCTCAAATAAGAAGCAACTACAAGTGCGTTCTCTGGGGGCGATGAGTCGTGTGCGTTTGCCAATCATGGAAACGGCTGCGGAAACACATCGCGTCCATGGTCCTTGGGGAAGCTCTCCTCGATGTTTGTTCAGCCATGGCCACAATTTCCAACCCCAAAAAATCCATTCCATGGTGTACCTTTATCGCTCTCTGGCTTGCTAGCTAGCGCACATGGCGAGAGATGACTCATCCGCGTACTAAAGTTGTACTACAAAGTCGCCAGTTCTCAGCTTCTAGCTGCACAGATTGCTCCGCGTACTCAAGTTGTACTACAAAGTCACCAGTTCTCAGCTTCTAGCTGCGCAAATTGCTCCGCGTACTAAAGTTGTACTACAAAGTCGCCAGTTCTCATCGTCCAGCTTGCCAGATACTCCGCGTACTAAAGTTGTACTACAATGTCGCCAGTTCTCAGCTTCCAGCTCACAGATTGCTCCGCGTACTAAAGTTGCACTACAAAGTCGCCAGTTCTCAGCTTCCAGCTTCCCAGATGCTG